ATTACAATTTGAAGGATATATATAACATGGATGAGACTGGACTGTTTTATCGGTACTGTATAAATAAATAATATTGTAGGTACTACAGGTTACCAACCGATTTACTTGTAATACACAAGTAAATCGGTTAGTAACCTATAGTATTTCTTGTATACTAATTAATACTTAGCTAAAATTTTTTTTTTTCTAGTTTAGAGCCAGATACTACGCTTGCAACTGTTCATCTTAAAGGAAAAAAATTAATAAAGAACGGCTAACATTGGCACTTTGTGCCAATGCTGATGGGACAGATAAAATGATACCATTTGTTATTGGTAAGTCAGTCAATCCACGTTGCTTCAAATCTATTAATTGCCGCAGCCTTCATGTTATATACGATTCAAGTCAAAAAGCATGGATAACAGTTTTGTTGTTCCAAAAATGGCTTAAGAAATTTGATTTAAAAATGGCTAGTCGCAACGTAATTCTCCTAATGAATAATGCAAAAGTTCACTTTGTTGGTAATTTAAGACTTCGTAATACAACCATTAAATTCTTTCCTCCATATACAACATCTCGCCTACAACCTATGAATGCTGGTGTTATTATGTCCTTCAAACGCCACTACCGAAGTTACTTTATAAAGTGGCTTCTTGATCAGTATGAGTCCGAAAAAGATAATAAAATGGATGTTCTTACCACTATAAAATTCATTGTTTGAGGATGGAGAGAAGTGTTATCAGAAACCATAAAAAATTGCTTTCGACATACAGGAATTCTTCTATTAGTTCAAGATAATAATGAAGAACCTACCACTTATAATAATGATAATGATATAATGGAAGAGTTGTATAATAATATCGAATTGCTAAATTTACAAAATGTAATGGATCTTGAAGACTATATAGATTATTCAGAAGAAAGAATCGTAACAGGAATAATGAGCGACCAGGAAATTTTAAACCAAGCCACATATTAGGAACCTCAACAGGTTGAAAGTGATAAGGAAGATAATAGTGTAGAAACGCTCCAAATTACTCATAAAGAAGCATTAGATGCTATTTATCGATTGGAGTTATATTTTATACAACAAGACCTTAATTATGTGGTTCAAACAGAAAACGATATAGCCCTGTCAAAATTATATGAGTTAGCAAGAAAGATCCGAAATGCTTCATTTAAACAACTAAATATAGAAACCTTCTTTGAACTAGTTGGTAATGTACGTACATAACAATAAGGATAATGAAATTAAACTTTGTCTAACAATATTTCCTTATCTCTAAATAAATAATTAGGATAATCAACAAAACGATAATAATTACTCATTTGAGTAGTCAAGTAAAAAAAAAAAAAACTTATTTTTTTATATAACAATATAAAATTATTCAATTTATATTCGAAATGTAGTTAGTTTTTTCTTTTTTTTTAAGTATAAAAAAAAAAAAAAAAAAATTTAAATGTTTAATCTAAAAAGTTAGACATGCATATTCGAATTAGAATTAGATTTTGGCTTTGTTACAATAAATGAAGTAATACTATGATTAAACGAGAAATATAAATTCACAAACTTGTAAAACAAAGAGTGAAAGTTCATATGATAAAAAAAAATTTTAAAAGTTCACAGTAGAGCACATACCTGATACGTATGTACGTACATACGTACGAATATACAATATCAGATAATAGTCATTTCACGTGATTATATATTTGCTGTATTTCTATTGGTTATTCTCTAAATACAACCCTCCCTAAATGCATACTTTGAAGCTAGTCCCAAGAGTATGCATTTAGAGAGGTCTGACTGTATAGTTAATATTTTAAGCTCTACTTTATATGATGGTATACGTAACTGTGTGCATTCCTGTAAATTTCCTTCTTCATCATATACACTTGAAATTATTCGTATTCCATCTAACCACGTTGCTAAACATTTATCACCAATCATTTGAA